GGAGAAATAAAAAGGTGGCATTCCTGGTCATCTCCAACAAAGGCCTTAGGAGATACTCTTGGGGAAGGAGGCAAAACACACACAGAAAACACACTGGGCCCTAATCTGGAAGTCTGGGACCAGCTGCTGAGTGACTTGGACAAGTCACCCAACCTCTCTGACCTCCACTTCATCTCTGCCATGTGTGTGGGCTGAGGGAGGTGCTGTCCATCTGATTGCCTCGCCGGCCTGGGAAACCCCGCCTTGTGGTCGGAGAGGTTGTCCCGGGTCTCAGCTCATGTCACGTCCCAGATTCCTCCTGTCCCCTGGGACTTGTGCGTGGGAATGCCAAGCCCAACCTTCCTCAAAGCCAAGGGGTATTCCAAGCGCCCCACCCCCACCCGCCCTGCAGCCCAAGGCACAGGCAGAAGCTGGCAGAGCCCACAGCCCCCGGAGGTGGAGGTGAGCACTGAAGTGGTGGGCCGCCTGCTCCGTGCTCGTTCTTGGCAGGTATGGACTCTTTCCACCCTCACCACACCTATGAGGTAACCATCAATATTTTCATTTTATCTATAAGGAAACTGAGGTTCAGAGAGGTTAAGTCACTTGCTCAAGGGCACCCAGCCAGTGCGCGGCAGAGCCAGGATTCCAAGTCTCTGCAAAGTCAGCCAGCAGCTTGTCCAGCGCGGTGACACTCTGAGGGCCAGAGGCCTTGACTCCTGACCCTGCAGCTTTGAGGTGGGGAGGGGCGGGAGACGTGAGGCTGAGAGTGTGGGGCTGTGCCAGGCAAAGGCTAATGCCCCGAGCGAGCGCAGCCCTGACCTGCAGAGATGGCAAGGACGTGCCCTCCCGGCTCTTCCGAGAGCCGCCGTTGCCCTGGGCGCTGACGGAGGCAGCGGCCGCGCTCCACCTGCCAGCTCTGCGCTGGGCATCGCCACAGTGACCGACGCACGGTGCCTGCCCTCATGGGGCTCAGGGGCCGGGACAGGTCGGGGTGCACTGAGTGTCACGGCAGAGGGGCCTGGGGGCCGTGGGAACCCAGAGGAGGGGCTCCCAGGCCAATCTGGAAATCAGGGAAAGCTTCCTGGAGGAGGAGGAGTACACGGACAAGTGGCGCTTCAGTGGGCTCAGACAAGGGAAGGGCTGCTCTGCTCCACGCTACTGTCTCCCTAGGATCAGGACGGTGCCCACCCAAAGGCAGCTCCAGGAAAGAACGGCTGAAATGATTTGTTTAATTGGAAGCCCGTGACTGATGCCTTTAAGAATAATGCCAGGGCTTTGGGGTCAGGCCCTCCTGGAGGACGGCGGCGGCGCAGGGGGCCGAGGTGGACGTGGAAGGCGGCACACCGAAGCTGAGCAAGAATGAGCTAAAGAGACGCCTGAAAGCTGAGAAGAAGGGGCAGAGAAGGAGGCCACGCAGAGGGAGCTCAGTGAGAAACCGCCGGGCCAGGCCGCCGCCAGCCACCTGACGATGGTGTGGGCGTCGAGGAGGAGAGCCGGGCGAACGCGAGTGCCCTGGGCCGCGGCGTGGCTCGGCACAGGAAGGCTTCTGACGAGGCTTATGGCAAAGGGAGGGCCTGCCACTCCATCTGGTTAAGGGCACAGGCCGAGTGTTTTTTTTTTTGAGACAGAGTCTCACTCTGTTGCCCAGGCTAGAGTGAGTGCCGTGGCGTCAGCCTAGCTCACAGCAACCTCAAACTCCTGGGCTCAAGCGATCCTCCTGCCTCAGCCTCCCGAGTAGCTGGGACTACAGGCATGCGCCACCATGCCCAGCTAATTTTTTCTATATATATTAGTTGGCCAATTAATTTATTTCCATTTATAGTAGAGATGGCGTCTCGCTCTTGTTCAGGCTGGTTTCGAACTCCTGAGCTCGAGCAATCCGCCCGCCTTGGCCTCCCTGAGTGCTAGGATTACAGGCGTGAGCCACCGCGCCCGGCCTGAATATTTTTTATATCACCCCCCCAACATGCATGTGGGAGAATCCTGTGCCCCTAAGTGAATCGGTCCTCCTTGGAACCGGCTGGGCCTTGTAGGGGCCCCAGAGAAAGTATCTCCCAGAAGATGGACTGGGGTTTACTTTAGACTGGGGTTGGCAAACTACGTTCCATAGGCCAAATTCTCCTCTCCACTTCCCCACTTCGTCCTCCCGTCCCTGGTTTTGTAAATAAAATTGTATTGGAATCTAAAATAAATAAATAAATAAAAATAATGCCAGGAAAGCTCTGCAGGTGCACAGGGCCTGCAGGGGTCATGTCACAACCTGCAGGCACTCACCTGGAGGAGAAAACTGCCTGGACCTGGGGGACCCCAGGGGGCAAAGGCAGGACTGATGGGCAGAGGCACATTTGCCTACCAACAGCCAGTTCGCTTGGCCCCTGCTCACAGAGCTCGGGGCCAGGGTGGAGCATCGTGATGAACACGGGGCTGCAAATGAGTGTCTGAAGCCATTCACAGCCATCCTCCTTCACTCAGTCCTTCCCAGCCTGCTCTGCACTCACAGCGGCCATGTGACCCTGTTGTGGCCGATGGTATGTCTGCTGAGCAACTTCCAGAAAAGGTCTCGTGTCCTCCCCTCCCAAGGGAGCACCCCACCCACCCACTGCAGGGCTGGCACTGTCTTACTTCCTTATGGGGATGATGGTGAGAGAACATGATGCTTGGCAGCTGTCTTGAGACCATGAGGCAACACAGCACATGCTGAAAAGCAAGTACTCAAGGCAGCCGAGTGTGGGATGGCAAAGTTGAGCGATTCTAAGGTACATCGTCGTTTTGACATTTTCACATCTTTGAGATCGAGATGTATCTTATGATAATCACTAGGTGTCAGAGTGTAATTAATTGGGTTTTTTTTTTTCAATCAATGGAGGCGCTTGGGGATTTGCCCAGTACCACGTAAAGCAATGGTTAGTGGAAGCAAGACTGCAACCAGATCTTTTCCACCTCAGCATGTAAGACATGGTCTAGAGAGGAAGGGAAGGAGCTCACACAGCCTGAGCACCTACTGTGTGCTTGGGCACGTCCCCAGCGCCACCTCTCCTAACCCTGGACTTGCCCTGAGTCACCCACCCACCAAGTGGCGAGCAGCATCTGAAGTTAGATTTAGCTGATCTGGAGCTGAGGCTCCCACCTCGTGTCCCTCTCTGTGCTCAGGCCTGTGCCCGTCCAGCGCCACTGCCGGGGCTGAGCACGGAGCCGTCGCCTTCGCCCGGGCACCAGCGTCCACGTGGCTCCGCCCGGCTTGCCCCTCCCTCCCTGCTGGTCCCCAGGGAGCTCGGTCTCCACCCGGGGGCCGGGAGGGCCGCCGTGCGCTCTAGAGGGGCTGACGTGCTCGCTGGTGCCTGATTCCTTTGCGTGGCCGCTGCTCCGCCGGCCTGCTGGCTAGAGGGCGGGCGCTTCGGGAGGGCGTCTCACGCTGCCCTGCCCTGCAGCACATCAGGTATCTCGGCGGGCTCCCCGGGCGGAGGGGGAGACGGGACGCGTCCCCGGGGAGGGTCCCGAGTCAGCCTCGCTGGCTTCTCCAGTCGGCCAAAGGCGGGCAGAGGCCCTGCCATGTCCCTGCCTTTGCACAGGCCTCTGCAGCCGGTCCCCTGCACGGCCAGCCTGGCCACCCCGAGTCCATCACCCGATGTCACCCAAACGTGGAGGCAGCAGACAGCAGGCGTTGACCACGTGGGCCTTGGATTCAGGCCCATCCAGCCTCGACCTCAGTCTCTGCCACTGACAGATGGGCGACTTGGGCCAGTCATTTATTGTCTCTGAGCCTCAGTTTCTCTCTCTGTATAGCATGGGTAATAAAACCTTACCATACAGACTTCTGGTGAGTGTCAAATAAGAAAAAATATAAAGTGCGCAGCACCATTCTGGAGCAGGGAATGCTACAAATACCGCTGATGACGTGGCCCTTGCAACTGTCTAACAGTCTGCAGGAAGACAAGGCTCGGAGGAGGGCACGGATGGCCAGGGTCACACAGCCAGGCGGTTCTTCCCTCTTGGGAAGAACATAGAAATAACAGTCACGGCTAACGCCATGCGCCGGGCTCCACTCTGCATGTTTGAGACGTGTTTTCCCATTTAATCCTCACAGTTCTCTGAGACAGGTGAGAGCACCATCACCCCCACTTTACAGATGAGAAAACTGAGGCATATGAAATAATTTTCCCCAGCCACCAAGCCCCAGTGGTAAGGCCGGGGTTTGAACCTGGGGAGTTCTGGCCCCAGATTCTGGCACACGCCTGCAGCACGTGTAGCCAATTCGCCAAGGCGTTTCCCCTGGAGAAGTCCGGTGCGAAGCCCTGACTCTGGTGGCAGTATCTGTGCCCTGACGGGGGAGTCAGGCCAGCCTGGCAGGGCTCCTGAAAGCACCTGTGAGGGCAGCTCCCCTGCCGCTTCCTGCCTCCCTCACGGACAAGTGGCGCTCGCTGGGCACCTTCTGGGGCGCTGTGCGGGTGGGACGCTGGGCTCCCGAGTGGCACAGTTGCCCGGCACGTGGGGCCGTGCCTGGCCCCACAGGCTTTCTTCTGGACGCCCGAGGGCCGTGTGCCAAGAGGCGGCAAGACCAGGCGGGGCGAGGGCAGACCCAGCCCAGCCCGCGGCCCACTCCCCCCAGGCGGCCGGAAGCGCGGGAAAGCCAGGCTCTAGGTGACACTCGGGCGGGCGCTGCTTCCCGCCCGGCACGCCCGTCCTGGGCCTGCAGCCCCGCCTCACCCCGCACCTCCGCCCGGGCCCGACTGGCTGTCCTCTGCCAGGGGACGGAAGTCGCTCTTCAAGCTTGGCATCCAGAGGCGCCTGGGGCTGGGCCGAGAGAGTCTGGGGGCGAGGGGACCGCCCGAGTCGGGTTAGGGCGGCGGTCACGCAGCTCGGTGCGCTTGCCAGAGCTCGCAGAACGGAGCACTGAAAAGGGGAAACTCACGCCTCAGAAAAGCCTGACTAAACGTCACGTCTGTAAGATAAATAAGTAAACACACGGCTCTAGAAGAAGAAAGACCTGCCCAACACACGGCGACGCCCAAGCGAGCCCGGCCACCTCCGCACCCGCAGCCCCAGAGGTCAGGCGCCAGCCCGGGCTGTGGCCGCGGCACTGCAGTGGCGCCCAGGCCGGGGCAGGGACACCTGCCCGTGGGAGGAGGACTGGCCCCTCTCTCGACCGCCTCATCCAGCCCTGCCCCGCATCCAGCGCTGCCGGAAGCCAGCACGCCGCCCCGGAACAGCCGTCCCGCTCGGCTGCTTGGGCCCCCACCTCGCCAGCCTCGTGTGAGGTCCCGCTGGGATTATTCTCATCACGGGTGAGACGAACCTGGCCTCGGAGAGGCTGAGGGACCTGCCCACTGTCCCCCAGCCGATAACAGGAATGACCCCCACAGTAGGCTTGAGGCCGGCACCACTAGTGCTCTTACTTTATAGAGGAGCAAAGCGGTGCACGGAGAGGTCAAGTGACTTCCCCCAGGTCACACAGCACATAAAAGGCAGTCAGGACTCGACCTGGGAGTCTGGCTCCAGGGCACAGCTCTCAGCCACCATATTCTCTTTTGGCGAGAAGCCACCACCTCACGCCTCTCCCTAAAGAGTGTGCTCAGAGCCTATTACGAGCTTGGTGGCCCCAGGCACCATTCTGCTAATGCCGGTAGCTGAGCTGGCAGTTCCGTGGGAGGGTGTGCCGGCCGGTGTAACCCCCAGCTGTGTGAGTTTAGTTACTTGCAGCTCCGTGTTCTCTGCCTCACCTGTTTAGGGAAGGGAGGTGGCGCCGAGCCTGCAGGGCTGCTGGGAGCCTCCAGCGAGTGGACACAGGACACAGCTGCCCCTGTGCCAGAGCGCTAACGTGCCGCCCTGCCTGGCATCGTCGCCACTGAGCAAGGCGGGGAGCAAACAAACGACACAGCCTCACTGCAGCCGGAACCCAGCACCACGGTCACTCGACTCCCAGGCCCAGCAGTAGGTTCCCGCCCACACAGAGTGGCGGCTGCTCTGTCTTGGCAGCTTGTCCACACCCAAGGTCAGGGCCTCACGGCTGGGCCCTGGGTCCCACCTGCGACGCCGTCAAGCATCCTCAGAGCCCCTCTGTCCGTCTCCACTTCAGCTGTGGGAGGGGGTGGGCGGAGAGGGCTGGGAGACTCCAGCCCCTGCAGGTGGGGGAGGGGAGGCGGTGGCCGGCACCTAGGTCTGGTCCCAGGGTGGGATCCCCCAAAGACAGGCGGGCTTGCTGTTCTACACTCCTGTCTTCTGCGGAGATAGGGCCTGTGTTCTTCTCACCCTGAGCAATATTGCAAATGCTGCTTCACCAGAGCAGTGCCCTGTCCTGCAGCATTTTGTTTAATGCAATCATTTAATGGTTGTCTTCCAGATAGATGAGAGGAGAGGCTGCATTTCTCTCGTTCATGGCTGAATCTCCAGGGCCTGCAAACAGTGAAAGTGAGGGTGGGTGGATGGGTGGGTGGATGGATGGATGGATGGATGGATGGATGGATGGATGGATGGGTGTGTGGAAGGATAGATGGATGGATAGTTGGGTGGATGGACAATTGCGTGGATGGATGGATGGGTGGGTGTATGGGTGGGTGGATGGATAGTTGGGTGGATGGATGGCTGGGTGGGTGAGTGGATAGTTGGGTGGATAAATAGTTGGGTGAATGGATGAGTGGATGGGTGGGTGAGTGGATAGCTGGGTGGATGGATGGATGGATGGATAGTTGGGTGGATGAATGGCTGGGTGGGCGAGTGGATAGTTGGGTGGATAAATAGTTGGGTGAATGGATGAGTGGATGGGTGGGTGAGTGGATAGCTGGGTGGATGGATGGATGGATGGGGTGGGTGAATAGGTGAATGAGTGCATAGGTGGATAGTTGGGTGGGTGGATAGTTGGGTGGATGGATAGATGGATGAATAGTTGAGTGGATGGATAGTTGGTTGGATGGATGGATGGATGGATAGATGGATGGATAGTTAGCTGGATAGATAGTTGGGTGGGTGGATAGTTGCATGGATGGGTGGGTAGATGGATAGATGGATGGATAGTTGGGTGGATGGATAGATGGATGGATAGTTGGGTGGGTGGATAGTTGGGTGGATGGATGGGTGGATGGATAGTTGGGTGGATAAGCAGTTGGGTGGGTGGATAGTTGCATGGATGGATGGGTGGATGGATAGTTGGGTGGATAGACAGGTGGATAGTTGCATGGATGGATGGGGCAAATGATGGCCTAAAAAGGTGGGGCTGGGGGCTCAGGGAGACCACTTGCCTTCTCTCCACCTGCTGCTCAGGACTGAAGACTTGTGGCATTTCCTCCGCAGGCCCTGTCAGGGCCGTTGGTCCCTGTGATCAGTGGGTCAGCCCCAGAGCCCCCTTGGCAGGGCCAGCGTGGCAGACTAAGGAACAGGGTCCTGCAGAGGTCGAGGACAGGAGGTTGGTGTGGGGGGCCGGGCGGCCCAGGGAGCGCAGAGGCATGTTTGGTGTGGAGGAGGGAGGAAGAAGGAAGAGGAGGGAGGTGGAAGAGGGGCTGGTCAAAGAAGAGGCAAATGGGGCGGCCACTGCCTGCTGCGTGGTGAGAGCTCTGCCTGGCGGCTTCCGAAGCCCCTTCCTCCCCACCGGCACACGGCAGCCTCACGGCATCTTTGCGGGTCGGTTTTACTGTTGTCCCCCAGCACGGCCAGGGAAGGGAGACGTCAGCAGCGCTGTCCCGGGCCAGCGTCTGTTCCCCGTCATGGCTGGGGGCCCTGGCAGTGGTGTGGCCTCTCCAAGTCTCACCTTCCTCACCTGTAAAAGACAGGTGACCACGATGCCACCTGGCAGGGATGTCATGAGGAGGAAATGAGCGTGCGTGTGTGAGGTCCTGGAACCCAGGTGGGGCCGAGCCCACTCCTTCCCTCCCTCTCCTCTCCTCTCCCTGCACTGGGTGTGCGACAGCCACAGAGCTCGGTGCCGGCAGGTCCGGGCACCTGCAGGTGGCCTCAGTGCGGACCAGGGCTTGGGCCTCTTCCCTGAGACTCTGGTCCCACTGAGGTGGGGCCTGGGAACCAGGACTTTTTAAAACTCCCCAGAATTTGCTGGTGCGAAGATTCGAGAAGCTCTAGCCTAAGTATGTCTGTGCGGGTTCTGCAAGGAGACCCAAGGAACAGTGTCCCTGGGGAGGGCGGTGGCTGGGACTTGGAGGGCAGCGTGGGAAAGAGGAGGATATTTTTCCGAACACCCTTGGGCTTTGTGAGTTTCGTTCCCTATGCACAGAATATCTATTCAAAGGGTAAAATTAAAATGGTTATAATCATAAGCAAATGGAATCCAATCCAGCCCAGCCCCCTCCCAAGATCGACAGTTCCTCCCTTTTCCCAGGGATCTCACGAGAACCCGACGTTACCTGGCCCCTGGGACATGGAGGTGGCAGCAGCCTCAGTCACCACTCAGCTGTCACGGGCTGACCTGAGGCCCCCGAAAGTTCGCATGTTGAGGTCCTGACCCCCAGTGCCTCAATATGTAACTACTCGTGGAGACAGAGACTTTAAAGTGGTGATGAAGGTAAACCGATTAGGACGGACACACAGAGAAGGACAGCCACGTGAGGACACAGGGACAACGGCTGTCCACAAGCCAAGGAGAGAGGCCTCAGAAGAAACCAGCCCTGCCGACGCCTTGAGCTCAAACTTCTGTGCTCCAGAACTGAGACAATAATTTCTGTTGTCTGGGTCACCCATTCTGCCTTGACCTTCAGACAACAATGCGTTCACTGCACTGCAACGCATCTAACCGCAAGGCATCTTTGCTCTTTCAGCCCTTCAAAATAGGAAGGCCCGGCCCGTGCCCTCCCTTCCCCGAGCATCCGCAGGGGTTGGACACCATGCAAGGACCTTCCCAGTCTTCTTGTTCTGCCTCCATCCCTCCTTCGGATTTCTGCAGGCTACTCAGAACGGCAGGGATCCTTCCACGCTGCATGAGCGTATTAGGCAGCTACTGCTGCGTATCTAACCACCCCAAAGCTCATGGCAATAACAATACCTTATTTTTCTTTTTCCCCAATCTCAGGGCAGGTCTGCTTCGGGCTGTAGGTTGGGTGGGCTGGGCTCCTGGCTGCAGGGGCGTCCTGGCTGCTGCCTGTCTCTCACCTGCCTTACAACAGGGCTTTCCTGGGGTGTGCTTTCTCATGGCGGCCACAGGACACTGGCAGGCCAGAGCACGTGGTGCAAGCTCATCTCTGCTCCTGCCGTGTCTGCTCACATTCCTCTGGCCAAAGCGAGTCCCATGATTGAGCCCAAAATCTGTGGGGCGGGAAGGAAACAGCTGCCCGATAATCCAGCACAGCGCGAGGAAGGTGAGACCCCCCAGAAGTCCCCTCAGAGCTGGACAGCATCGGGGAGCCCAGTGCCCAGAGATCTGGGGCGGAACCTGGGGCAGCAGAACACCAGAGATAAAAAGGAAAATAAACAGAGCACAGAACTCAGATGCGGAGACAGACAGAGCTTGGCCCAGCGTGGCCGCCCGCCAGCTGTGTCAGCTGAGGCACCTTCCTTAATCTCTCTGAGCCCATTTTCTCATCCATGAGGGAAGGAATAATGATTCTAACCTCACAGGCGGTGGCATGAGGACTGAATGGAAGGGTTTGAGGAGTGTGGCTCTGTGCACAGGATTTTGAATGAGGCCCTGCCTTAGCCTTCCTCTCTGTACCTCAGTTTCCCCGTCTGTGAAATGGGAGTAACAACAATACCTCATTACTGGAGCAGGGGTGGTAGGAGAAACGCTGAGTGCAGACCACGGAAACACCGAGCCTCCAGAGCAGAGCGCTGGCGCTGGTGTTCCCTCAGGGGACGTGTCCCCGCGGGCTCTGGGACGCAGAAAGTGAATTCTCCCGGGGCCTGCGGGCCCCAGGGTGGCCTGGGGAAGGGCCGCTGGCCTGGTGTGGCAGGGCTGGGCTCTGTCTGAGGAGCGCTGGGTCTTCCTGCCTCTTCCTTCTCTCAGGATGTTTGACCCTCAGGGACTCCTGTGTCCCGCCTGACACGAGTCCCCGACCTGAGTCCCCGACCTGAGTCCCCGACACTGTGATGTGGAGCGGGATGGTGGCAGAGATTCAGGGGTGGTGCAGACCTGGGTGTGGGACCTTGCCCTGTCCCCTCCCAGCTGAGTGACACTTCCTTTTCTGGAGCCTCTGCTGTCCGAGGGGGAGGGGGAGGGGGAGGGGGAAGGACAGCTCCGCCACTGCAGGCGGCAGGGAGGGGGGCCCTCTTGCCAGACAGCCTGGGTGCTCCCCTGAAGCTGTGTGTAATTGAATCCCATTTTCCGCGCCCCGGGGGGCGGACAGTTGGAGGGAACCCAGCGAGGGCCTGCTGAGATAATGAAGGAGGAAGCCATAGGAAAACTGCAGCTTTAATGCAAATGGGCCGGGCAAACCCCCTTCACACTGATTATAAAACTCCTTAAAGCAGGGCAGGCAAGGTTGCTCAAAGCAAAGCAGACCCAGGCACAGGGGACTCCTCCCCTTCCTGGGGGCTGGAGAGTGACAGAGAAGTCCTGGAACTGCACAATCATCCGTGCACCTTCTGTGCCCCGCCCCCGCCGGCACCCTGCACCCCCGGCCCAGCACCCCACCCACACTCGGTGACACGCTGGGTGGAGGGAGCAGATGGAGATGTCAACGCACCCAACACCCAACACGCCCAGCGCCACGTGCGCCCCAGGCTGTTAGTCAGCAGGAGAGGAGGCTGGGGAGTGGCAGAACTCTGCGTCCAACCCAGGTCAACCACAATGCCCTCGCTCTGTCCCACTGCAGCAAGGCCTGGGGTCCCGCATCTGTCCCCTGCCTCCAGCCACTCTGCCCCTCCCTGGTCCCGGCCCCCTCAGCTAGGTGGCTCTCCTGCCTCCCACCTCCCGCCAGCCTCGCAGCTCCAGCCTTGACCCATCTGCAGAGGTGCTTGTGCTGCAAAAAGCTTGCATTGTGTTTCTGTCCTAACTTTGCTCAAAACCCTGCCGTGGCTCCCCATGTCTTCTAAGAATCAAACCAGAAATCCCCAGCCAGGGACAAAGGGCCTCTCAAGCACCTGGTTCTGTCTCACCTACCGTGTTTCCCCGAAAATAAGACGAGGTCTTACATTTCTTTTTCCTCAAGAAGATACCCTGGGGCTTATTTTCAGGGGACCTGTTATTTTTCCCTCAAAGGCTCAGCTTGCAGCACGCACAGGATGGCAGGGACCTGACAGGGGGAGCCGACCTTGTTGGTGGGGCTGCCCGCACCTTTTCGGTCCCCTCTGGGATAGTAGCTGTCACGATGGGGCAGATGAGAAGGGCTGCTGGTCTTCTTTACTGCTCCTTTACCACGAAGAAATGCATGGGTTGTGCAGACACGCTGCATAGCCAAGCCCATCACTAGGTCTTATTTTCTGGGTAGGGCTTCTATTGCGCAAATGCTTAGAAATCCTGCTAGGGCTTATTTTATGGGTAGGTCTTATTTTCGGGGAAACATGGAATGTAGTTTCATCTGCTCTCCCCTCACAGACTGTCTGCTCCAGATGGGCTCATCTGTTGGCCCCTCCTCTAAGAAGCCTCCCCACCTACGCGCCCACGACAGGTTCATGCCCCTCTGAACCCCAGAATAATGGCTCCCACGAAGTTCCTGTCCTAATGCCTGGAGCAGGTGGATATGTTAGGTTACATGGCACGGGGGATTAAGGTTACTAATCAGCTGACTTTAAAATAGAGAGATCAAGGCCGGGTGTGGTGGCTCATGCCTGTAATCCTAACATTCTGGGAGGCCGAGGCGGGCTGATCGTTGGAGCTCGGTAGTTCAAGACCAGCCTGAGCAAGAGCAAGACCCCCATCTCTACTAAAAATAGAAAGAAATTAATTGGCCAACTAAAAATATATAGAAAAAATTAGCCAGGCATGGTGGCACATGCCTGTAGTCCCAGCTACTCAGGGCTAAGGCAGGATCACTTGAGCCCAGGAGTTTGAGGTTGCTGTGAGCTAGGCTGATGCCACGGCACTCTAGCCCAGGCAACAGAGTGAGACTCTGTCTCAAAAAATAAAATAAAATAAAATAAAATAGGGAGATCAGGCTGGATGTGGTAGCTGACGCCTATAAATCTTAGCATTCTGGGAGGCCAAGGCAGGAGGATCGCTTGAGCCCAGGATTTTGAGGTTGCTGTGAGCTAGGCTAATGCCACGGCACTCTAGCCCAGGTGACAGCGTTAGACTCCATTTCAAAAAATAATAATAACAAAATAAATAAAATAAAACAGGGAGATTAGCCTGGATCACCCCACTGGGCTCAGTGTGATCGCAACAGCTCTCAAAACCGGGAGAGGAGGCCAGTGAGGTCAGAGGGATGCCATGTGGCGGGGGAGGGGGGTTGCCGGCAGGTGGCCATGACCGAGGAACACAGGCTGCTGGAAAAGTCAAGGACACGGATTCTCCCGGAGAGCCCCAGAGGGACCGCAGCCTGCCGACACCTCGATTTTAGCCCAACCCCACCCGTGTGAGACTTCTGATCTCCAGAACTGTGAACCGTCCGTTTGCCTTGTCTGCGGCACTGAGAGGACATTTGTTACAGCGGCGATGGGGACCAGACTCGCGCACAGAGAAAACCACACCGGCAGCCACCACGGCCTGGTGCCGGTGCCCTCTGCTGAGCCGTTTGACCTCCACCCCCCACCCCGCGTTATTCCTGGGTCTCTAACCCTTTTATGGGAAGGGCCTCGTCTTCATAGACAGGCGGTAGCATCCCAGGCCGGGACTGCCTTCACCAGGGCGTCCTAGAAAAGCCATTCTTACTACTGATGATAATAATAGCTAGGGTCACTCCGTAGTTCTTGACTAGGGTCGATTTTGTCTCCAGGCGACATCTGTCATGGTCTGGAGGCATTTCCGGTTGTCATGACTGAGGGATGCTGCTGGCATCTAGGGGGTGGAGGCGCGGGATGTCGCTAAACAATCTGCCGTGCACTGGGCAGGCCCCTACACCACAGACTCATCCAGCCTCCAGTGACAGTGCCACAGAGGCTGAGGGACCACAGGTCTGTGTCCCCGTGTGTTAGGACAGTTTAGGACATTTTGTATCCGTGAGCTCCAAACCTTGCAACAACTCTGCAAGGCTGTGTTATGGTGCAGAAGATGACAACTTAGGCTCAGAGAGGTCAAGGAACTTGTGCAACATCACACAGCTAGAGAGAGACAGAGCCAGGATTCCCTCACAGGACCAGGACTCCACTGTCTGCTGTCAAAGCCAGGGAAGACCCTCCTGACAGTGTCCCCCTTCTGCAGGTTGTGGGGTGTCACAGCCAGGCTGAGCACCTATAGGAAGCCCAGGGTCATCCCAGTCCACTGGAGCCCCTGGAAAGGTCCTTACACATTCCTGCCGCCCAGCCCTGCTCCAGGCCAAGGAAGGGACCGGACAGGGGAGAAGGGGACACTCAGGGGAAGCTTTTTTCTTCAGTGACATCTGTTTGTTTAACTAAGGCCGACGACATTCCCCAGGACACCCGTGGTGTAAATATTTATCCATCTAGAGCTCCAGGAGGCCCGGGCTGCAGGAGTCTGCACCCTCAGAGCAGGAAGCAGGGGGCGAGGGGGGCGCTGACCTCACTTGTGCCTCAGAGTCCTGGCGGGAGGGGGGTATTACGCACCCATTTGATAGAAGAGGAAACCGAGGCCCAGGAGGGCGTCACACAGCTGGGAGCCCAGGGCCCCTGCCCTTTCCATCCCCTCAGGCAGCCTTCCAGCCAGCGCAGGAGGGACGTTTCTGAGAGGAGACGGGTAGCAATGGCAGTGCCAGGTGGGGACTTGTGCAGAGTCCCGGACGCCCCATCCTAAGTGTCTCTGTCTCTCTGTGTCCCCCTCTGACTCTGCCTCTGCCCCAGGACGCCTCTCCCTCCCTCCCTCCCTCTCTCTCCCTCTCTGTGTCTCTCCCCTCTCTCTCTCTGATTCTTTCACTCTTTCTCCCTTTGTCTCTCTCTTTCTCTCTCTGTTTCTCTGTCCCTGTCTCTCTGGCTCTCTCTGATTCTCTTACTCTGTTGTTCTTTCCTTCTCTGTCTCTTTTGTCTCCATTTCTGTTCCTCTCTCTCTGTCTCTGTGTCTCTCTGTTTCTGTCTCTGATTCATCCTGTCATTTTCTCTTCCTCTGTCTTTTGTCTCCATCTGTGTCCCTCTCCGTCTCTGTCCCTCTCTGTCTGTGATGCTCTTTCCCCGTCTCTGCCTCTCCAGCTCTGTCTCTCCACCTCTCTGCCGTCCTATCTGAAGGTGGCAGAGCTGGGGTCCCAGGCACTGCGGGGCCCAGTGTGTGTGGTTGGACCCGAGTGTGCAGGGCGGGCGGGCCCATGCCTCGTGTGGGGACCCCTGGACGGGCAGGCAGGGGTCTTCAGGGAGGGGTGGGGCAGGAGCAGGAAGCAAGGGCCCCTTCCCCGGAGAGCAGGCGCCGCACCCTCCTGTCCGCCTTAGGCGCTCAGCCGGCAGCTTTAACCTGAGCAGCCCTTTTCACGTCTCCCCGCCCCAGCTTCCTCATCGGCAAGGTGGGGACAGCAACACCTTCCTCTCAGGCCGGGCGAAGGGGCTTGGGAGCTAGCACAACGGAAGCCACGGGCAGGACCCACGTGCAAAGCAGCGGGGACACGCCTGCCCCGTCCCTCTCTGGGGCTGGACTCCACGGGCACGTAAATATTTGCCGAACAAGAACAAATTCCACAAGTGGCAGAACTGCCTTTAGAAAACATTCTATTTGCACAAGGGCTGGCCACACCGGCCCTGCGACCGAGGGGGGACGTTTATGCCTGAACACAGCCGCGCAGAGCGGCCGACAGGGCTGGGCTCCCGCGCCAGATGCTGCCTCTTCACTTCACTCGGATTCAGAAAGTGACGGCGACGGGCCGTCGTCCCTGAGGCCTGCCCGGTGCCAGCGGTTCCGCGTGGCATCTCACTCTACCCGGAGACAAGCTTGATCCCGGTGCCACTTCGCCACGGGGGAGCCTGAGGCGGCCGCCCACCCATTCGCTCAACGCACATTTGCGGGTGCCCACCAGGTGCCGGGCACTGTGCCGCGCTCTGGGCAACAGGTGCCTAGAGAGGGGGCAGGGTCCCGTGGGAGCAGTCCAAGCCCTACTGCGGGCGCACAATAGAAACAACACAGTTCCGGAGAGTGACGCCACCGTAGGGAAGAGTGGGGAAGTGCGGCGTGGCGGGTGGGGTCTAGAGAAGGAGGTGTCCAGGCCAGGTGTCCCCACCCCCCAGACGCTAAGGCCTGAGGCCTGACCAAGTCGAGGGCACCTGGGGAAGGGCAGAGTCGCCGGGGTGCCCGCAGTCCAGGGGCCTCAGTGGAGCCCCCCACTACCACTGCCGACAGTAAAGCCAGGTGACCGCCTAACCCCACCGAGTCCACACCCTGCTCGTTTTCTCAGTGCCTGGTTGGAGGTGCAGGAGAGAGGAAGGGAAAGGCCAGAAGCCAGACAGCCAGGCTGGGCAGGGACCCGGCAGGACCAGGTAGGCTGAAAGGGGACCCTGCCCAGTGGGGTCTCAGAGGGTCCCCACAGAAGCCAAAGGGCCTCGACCCCCTGTAAGTGGCCTCTGTCCTTACCACCGGGCCTCTGTCCTTTCCACTCGGCCTCCCTTCCTCCCTCCTCTCCCTCCCCTTCTCTCTGCAGACAGGGGTTCTCTCTCTCGGCCCACTCAGCAACTACTGCAGACACAGCCGGGCTGCCGGGCGCCACTCACATCTCACGCTGCTGAGAGCCCCTGCCAGCTTCTGCAGGGGGACGAGGGACAAACTGATGACGAGGTTGGGGGGGCAAAGTAAGTTTTGCTTTAACAGAAAGCAAAACCCAACCCCCGCTCCAGTGCAGAGTAAAAAGGGACACGGATCCCACCCCGAGTGTCCCAGCCGACCTGCAGACGCTGCCCTGCCTGCCCCAGGCCCGCACGGGCTAGTCAGGAGGCCGAGACTACGGGACAGAGGATTGATAATTGCCTGAAACAATCGGCCCTTCCGAGCCGGGCCGGGCGCTCCCGCCCGGTTAGCACGAGGCCCGGTTGGCAGAGCTGCCTGGCAAGGGACAGAGTTTATTCGCTTTGCTAAGGATAATCTCCCCGCACTGAGACCCACAAAGTTTGACTTAATATTCCCGTTGCCCTGGCAACCTTCTCCGCTGGTTCTCCCCTGTCATTCTTCATCAAAAACCGTGCTCGGAACTTTTTGCTTCCGTTGGAAACTTATGGTTGCCAAGGCAACCCCCTCAAAGCATCTTAAGGATGCAGGTGGGCTGCAGGTGGTGGGGGAGGGGAATGGGTTTATCTTTGGCCCAAGAGGGGTGCACAGCAGGAAGAGGAGGGACCCAGGGAAAGGGTGGGTGAGGGGGATGAATTTGGGGTAGAGTTGGGGGGAAGAGGGGATGTCAGGAAGGAGAGGACAACGGTCCCTATGAATGCGCTCACTCACTCACCTGCAGTCACTCGAGCCCCATTCTGTCTGCGGCTCTTTTATTTCCCTAGGGCCGAGTGGACGGAGGAGCGGGCAGACGCCCCCCAACACACACACCCAGCCCCTCAATGTGGGAACGTGGGAGCAGGGCGAGCACTGGCCACGGAGTCAGACGGACCCGGGCTTGCATGTGGACCCTGACTCTTTCTTCACTTATGAGTAGAGCATAAGGACAGACCCCACTGTGACAGAGCCCCTCCTGAACGTCCTGGGAACCCGCAGAGTCCAGCACACACCCGAGTCCCCACAGCGCGTCCAGCCCGGCGTCGGCACCTGCGGCGTGCGCAGTCAGTAAGCGCAGCTCGGGTTCACTCTCCAGTGGGGGGACAGTGCTGACCCTGGACGGCCACCCGCTGGCTGAGGGCAGCAACGTGGAGGTAGGGCCAACACGGGAGGGCAGGGCTGGGGGCCTCCCTGCTTAGGGACAGCCCCCCTCCTCCCCAGGTCTGTCCCATTTAATCCCAACATCCCCGTTTTGCAGGTTAGGGAACGAAGCAAAGTTCAGAGAGGAGGAGCGAGGTCGAGAGCAGCTGGTGCAGAGCTCAGCCGTGGGCCACGTTCCCTGCAAGCCCTCATTAACTCAGAACAGTCCTGGGGGGCGGATTCCATTATCCCCATTCTGCTGATGAGAAAAACAAATCTGAGAGGTCACACAGGTCTCCCAGGGTCACACAGCTCCTTCGGGGGCCTGGCCTCTCTCTTGGCCCCTGCTCGGCCCAAACGCCGCGCCTTGGAATCATGTCTGCCTGCCAGTCCTGAAGGCCCCACTGGGAAGTGGAAGGGAGGGGAACTCACGTCTATCTCCATCTGTTCGATGTTTCTGCTCTGCCCCAACCCCCAGCAGCCCAGCCACTGGCCGGGTGTGGGACCGGAGGGCTTGAGGCCACAGGGAGGGTGGGCGGGTGGCTGGGAGGGAGCCTGCTCCCTGCTCCTCCACTGGCACTGCCAACACCAGAAGCTGGCAGCACGGAGCAGACCAGAAGCCCCTTGGACGTGTGAGGACCATGGGCGGGAAGGGGGGCAACCCTGAGCTGGGAGCTGAAGAGCCGCCACCCCCTCGCCTGCCCTCCTTCCAGAGGAAACCGAGGTTCCAAAACGTTAAACTGTGATGCATCCAAAGCTTACAATGACCAAGGGACCAAGGCCAGGTGTGTGGATGTAATACCCAGAGCTTGTCTGAGCGGTAGCCGGGCGGCTTCTGTTTCTGAGCCCCTCCCTGCTTCTTCCTGCACCCCGGGGCGGCCCCTGGCTGCCGGCTGTCCCGTGTGCATCCTGCGCTGGGCCTCCTCCTTCCTCAGACGCCCCCCCTCGTCCCCCCGGAACTTTGACCCTGGTCTCCTGCCACCCAGAACATTCTCCGCCAACCACGTGGCCACTCACACTCCATGCAGAAGTTTGCGTAAATGTCCCCTCCTCAGAGAGGACTTCTCTGACCGTCCTTTTGCTTAAAATCATAGGCATGGGCTGGGGGAGAGGGGTCGGGATAAATGACACAAGACGGCCACGCCGGATGATGGTCACAGGGGGGCTCGTTGCTCTCTCTACCTTTCTATATGTTTGTAATTTCCCATAATAAAAGTTTTTAAAATAATATTAAGCCTCAACCCTGTGCCAGGCACAGCTCTGGGACACAGACAGAACTAAGGCTGTCACGGAGCCGCTTGCAAACGGACAGACACGTGACACAGTCAGGTGGCATTAAAGGCTGTGAAGGGAAATAAAACAGGCTAATGGGCAGAAGTGACGGAAAGAATGTGGTTCTATTACTCAAGCCGCCGACGGGTGAAGGCACTGGAGGGCGCAGGCGCGTGGGGAGCAGACCGCAGGGGTCTGAGGCTTCCGGCCGGGCTTTCACCGCAGGAGTGGGACTCAGAGACTCTGGCTGATTCTTCAGGTCCTCATCCAACAAACGTCTCAGGACACCCTCTTGTCCAGCCCGTGCCAGCGCTGGGGCCCAGCTGGGGCTGCTCAGGAGGGAGCCTCGGCCAGTCTCGGGTATCAGGAAGGGGCTCCCAAAGGAAGTGATATCAAAGTTCATTACTTTCAGGCCGAGCAGGATTTAGTGACAGGAAGAGGAAGGGCAGAAGACACGGCACACCCAAAGGCCAGGGGGGCCTGAGCAGAGAGCCCACAGCTGGGGACTCAGCAGGGCCCCAAGTGCAGAGGTGAGGGGTGGGCAGGAGCCTGGGGCCCCGTGGGGTGTCCCCCACCCCTCGTCCCCCCTGCCTCTGTTGGCTCCAAAGAGGCAGCAATTTGTTTCTGCCTCTGGGTTTTCACAGGTGCTGGAACGTTCTTCCCAGCTCTGCAGGGCTGCCGTCCGTCTGCCTCAGGGCTGGGAGCGAGGAGAGCCGCAGAGAGGCCGCCCTGAGCAGTGGGGGCCCCAGTGGTCCCCCTCTACACCCCGTGCCTCCCGCAGAGCCGGCGGGTGTCCTCCTGGCACCCAGGGCCTCGCCCTGCCGGTACCCACCTGTCCCCCGCAGCGTTGCGGTGCCCGCCGCTAGAGCAGGCACACCCTCCCACCGCTCTGACGCTGCACCTGGCCAAGACACTCTTCCTCCTGTGGAATGGGGGCAGAAGTGAGTGTCCCAGTTCTGGGCGGGGACTTCAGAGGTGTTGCAGGTGCCCATTAACTCTGTGTCCTTCTGCCACCACCACTGGGCAAACAAGTCCCAGGTGGCCCAGTGGTCCAAAGACAAGAGGCCCACGGAGCAGCCCCAGTGGAGTCCCGCTCAATGCAGCCGACCTGCAGACTCCAGACATGAAGCCCGGGCTTGGGGCTGCTGCCGTGTGATTATCAGGACAGCACGGAGCACTCCCTCTGTTGTGCCCACACTAGGCCCCGCCCGTGACAGCCGGGCCCCTAGTCCGTCCCGTCCTCATTCAGGTCCGGTACCGGGTCTGGGGCATCGTAGGACTTCAGATGTGTGTGGCACGGGTGGGCGAACCAACGCGCTGTCTGGAAGGGTCTTCAGCAGGAGAGGTGTGGCGGGTGTGGTTTAGGAAGATGACTCTGGCCGCTGCAAGAGGGAACGGATGGCAGTGGGGAGGGCTCTGCACAGGGGCCAGAGGGGACAGAGGTGGCCGGGACGCCGGCACGAGCAGAGGCGCAGACAGACCTGAGAAGGACGACGGCAAGGCTAAGCCCCAGCCGCTCGGGAGGCCGGGCCGGGAGGATGGCCGCAGCCCAGGAATTCCAGGTTACGTGAGCTGGGGTTGCGCCACGGCACTCCAGCCTGGATGACAGAAAGAGACCCTGTCTCTAAAAAATAAAAATAAAATAAAATCCTCCTTCCAAAGTGGGGAGAAAAGCTAAGGCTGAGTCACGCTGCAGGCCGGGCTCTCGCACATGGGACTCCACTAACCCCTCACCAGGCCGTGCAAGGTAGGCACTTTGATCGTCCTCATTTTCTAGAAGAGGAAACTGAGGCACACAGAGAGGCTGTAACCCTCCCAGGTCACGCAGCAGGTGGGCCACGGACCCCCAACCTAGGCCGCCTGGCTCCACCGCACCCTCGTGTCTAGTCTCACATCTGGGGGTGAACATGAGTGGGACCCCAAGACCCCGATAACATGGGCAGGCAAAAATGTGCCCCAGCATATGGGGGAGAAGGGGACAGCTGGGGGGGGGAGGGGACCAGGGAAAGGGTGTTGCTGCTTTTTGTGATTTAATTCGATCTGCTGGGTCATTGTCTGTGGGCACAGTGCCAGGCCCAGAGGCCCCTCCCCCGGGGGTGGGGGTGGGGGGAGGCGGGACCAGGGAAGACCCAGGGGCCGGAGGGGCTGAGGGGCTTCACAGAGCACGCAGCTGCCCTTTCTCTCCAGGCCCACCGAGGTCTCCAATCCCATTTCCCTGCCCGCCCAGCCCAAAGGCCGTGAGGACGGTCTCATCGCGGAGAGCCCAGGCACAGGCCCCCTCGGCCCTTCTCCCAGGAACGAGCAGAGAGAGAAGTCCTTAGAGACGCAATCTCGGGCGGCCCTGTGCAAACCCAGCAGGCAACGGGGGTCCTGTGCAGGCGGCAAAATCCCTCCTGTGGGGTGTTTTACCCTCCAAACTGCCAGGGAAGCCGAGCACATAGTAACACTCCCATCTGCTCGGCTCTTGCGGCTTACACAGCACTTCCCACACGACTCACGTCTGTCCTCGCCGCAGCCCCAGGGGGGCCGGTCTCCCCACCCTGAGGCGGGAAGCCCGAGGCTCACGAGTGGAAGGACAGGGGCAGGTGGGACCTCGGCCTTCTAACTGCGTCCCTGAGCCCGTGCCTCCTGCCTAGTGACGTGCAGACCATTCCTGGCGTCGGGGTGCGGGGCAGGCCGGTGTCGTAGGGTGCAGGCGAGGCCGGGGCCCCCGGGGGCTCGGGGCCTGGTGACCCGCTGGGGAGTCTGCACACTGGCTAGGACGTTGGTGCCCTGAGGGTTCCTCTCTGTGGAGGGAACCAGAATCCTTAGGGCAAACCCCACGTGCAGAAAAGACTCTCAGAAGGAATCTGGGCGACATTGATGCTCGGAGAACTGGGGTGCGAGAACTCTGAGGGAGGTGACGGGGGGAGGTAATGTCATGAGGAAGAGCTGCTCGGGCTGGGACTCGAGGAGAAGCCAATCTGGAAAATTCTGCAGGCGGAGTCCAGGGAAGCTTTCGGTTCCTCCCTGCTTCCTGCCCTTGCAGGGCGGCAGCCACCCCCTCCTCAGGCACCAGGCACTCCTCCTCACCTGTCACAGTGCTCGCAGGTGGCACCTTGCTTGGTGGTCTCTGCCTGCCAGACTGTGAGCTGCCTCCTGAGTGCCCTGCTGGCCCACTCGTTCTCTCACTCACGGGCTGCCTGGCAGCTCGGGGCTGGAGACACGGTGACAAGGGTGACAGACAAGGCCTACGTGCTGGTGGTGTGGGAGACAGGACTGGCGCCGGAGAGGGCTTGAACTTGCCCTTGGTTTACACCCGGACACTTGGCTCTCTCGGTGGGGAAGCTCAGTGCTGGAATGTTCCAGCCAGGGCCTTGTTACAACGGCCCACCTCGGTGGAAGGACTGGGGGGCCCTCTCCCCGCAGCAGCCCAGCCGCCCCCCGTTAGGGCTGCTGGGCTCCTTCCTGTTAAATTCAGATGTGCCCACGAAGGGGGACACACGGACCCTTGTCCATCCGACGCTCCTAGCTTTGTACTGAGCTGACGTGTTCCGGGGCCTAGAACAGAGCCTGGCGCGAAGCCGTGTTTGCTGGATAGACGCAGACAAACCTCTCATCACTCAGTAAATGTGGAAGTGGACGCCTACCAACAGGTGCCAGGCGTGGGCTGGGCAGTGGAGACTCGGAGGAAAACCAGACACACCATCGCTGACCTCGGAGAGCACAGGGTCTGGGGCCTGAGACAAGCGCGGGTCAAATATTGCAACACTATTGGGAACCATCTGTGTGTTCGCTCCAGTTTTCCAGGGATCAGGTATCACTAAAAGTATCTGCTAAACTGAATTGGACCCAATGGCAAAAACATTTTCCAAAGCACAGATGCCTCTAACGCAGGACCGCACTTTGCCTTAGTGGCTCCGAAACCCTGTTAGGCCTGAGAAACATACCCGGGTCAATGTTGGGAGCAGCCGCTTTCAGGTGTGTCCACCTGCAAGGTCAGCTTATTCCCATTTCACAGGCAAGAAAACTAAGGCTAGGAAGCCACACAGCTAGGAAATGGCATAGCTGGGGAGCAAACCCAGGCTGGTGCAACCCCACAGTCTGTGTTCTTTCCATGGCAGGCCAGCTCCCAGCTTCCAGAAAATCCACCTAGTGAACTTCCACACACATCTCACTGGCCAGAAGCAAGTCACATGGTCACTGTAGCTGCAAAGGAGTCTGGGAGGTGAGTGTGGGAACTGGGCTTCCCCAAACATAACTGGATTTCTTTTGAACAGAAGAAGGAAGGATGAGCATGGGTGGGCAAGTTTGCTGTATCTGCATCATTTTTTATGATGGCTATCATAAAAAAGACTCTCATCTTCACTGTATGGCCATCCCCTGCCTGTCCCAGACACCACCCAGCCCTATGCCAGCAAGGCACTGTCCCTACCCATGCCCACCACATAGACCCTGCAGGAGGGACTCCCTGAGCCCTCACCTCAGCCACAAGGCACAGGCCATGGGGGCTCCTTGCCAAGCACTGGATCACAAAGCCCCAGGAGGGTGGATGGATGAATATTTGGGTGGGTGGGTGGATGGATGAATATGTGGGTGGGTGGATGAATGGATGGATATGTGGATGGGTGGATGGATGGATATGTGGGTAGATGGATGGATGGGTATGTGAGTAGATAGATGGATGGATATGTGGGTGGGTGGATGGATGGATGGATGGATAGATGGATGGATGGATGCATATGTGGATGGATGGATGGATGAATATGTGGGTGGGTAGATGGATGGATATGTGGGTGGGTGGATGGATGGATGGATGGATGGATAGATGGATGGATGCATATGTGGATGGATGGATGGATGAATATGTGGGTGGGTAGATGGATGGATATGTGGGTGTGTGGGTGGATGGATGAATGAATGAATGGATGAATATCAGATAAGCAGTGGTTCCTGCACTAAGAGCAGGATTATTTCCACATGCCCTCTCAGCATCTGTCTGAGAGGTAGGGATGGGGTTGCCTAGGAGACGATGGTCCCTACCTGGGTCTCTGTGCCTGGAGGAACTTTAACCTTTCCCTTCCTTGCCCTCACTCCAGATGTGGTGAACAGGAAGATGAACAGGGCAGT